TTTCAGAGAAATTGCAAAAAGCTGTGTGCCACTATCTGGAACATGTATGTATTATTTAGCTTGAAATTTTTTACAACAAATTCGCTTTCAGGAACACTTAAGACGTTGTCGACGTTCTGATTCCCAAACTGAAGAACCAGGAATAACAAGAGGAGGCAAACGACAGAGTATGCCTCACTCAGTACGCTTTGATCCACGTGGCTTGCGCGGCGGTAATCGAAGCAACAGCACCTCGCAAGAAGCGTTGAATTCCAGTCCTCCTGCACCCATGCGTTCTGCCTCGTTTCCAGCTTTCCTCAATTACGTCGGTCGTGATGATGTCCGTAGCGAGGTGGTCTACCGTGGTTCAGAACGAAGCAGGTCTCACACAATGAGTCAAATCGAAATTGAAAGAGAATCTGACATTTTCACGTGCACTTGTGGCCAGAGAATATCACGTGGTCAAATCACAAGTCACATGTCAGAGGAGTGTCCGAGGAGATTGACCAAATGTCAGTATTGTCGTGCGCAAGTCAAGTTTGAAGACATGCAGGTATGTAGCCCCGGTTAGTATTATTTATACACGTATTCATCATATCATCTCGCCAAAAGTGATATGTCAAATTTCCTTTGGTTCTTGTTGTTGTTGTTTTACGAAATTGAATTGACATTGAGTCTCTGAGACCTCGTCGAGGAATCGAAGTTTATTCTTTCGGATTTCGTGCTTTGATGCCCCACCACTGAGCTACAGAGAACTCTCTGGTGGGCAAGAAGACCGTACAAAAGGTTAATTTTTATGTGACATCTTTGTTCTAAATTTCCTCCCACAGTTTCATTTTCACGCCAATTAATCCTCTGAAATAGGGAAGTTTTTATGTGATCATAGTTAAACGAAGATGTCGCCCTGCCGATATTTTGGACATTTTTTTTTTTAACCACCAGTTGCTGATTATTCTAACAATTTATCTATGGTTGGTTTGTAATGCCTCGAGATTATCTTGTGTCTTTCCTAACAGAGTCATCTTCAAGTATGTCCTCGCTTTCCTCTGAGTTGCCCGAACAGTTGTGGTGTGTCACAGATTCCACGAGAAGAGGTGAGGAAAGACTAACGACTTTTAGTATTTTAGCCCAACGCCGTCTACTTCCCGCTAATTTGGGACACCTTGACTCTTGGGACACTAACTGTGGCCCCGCCTGGTATGCTCTAGAGCCTTTGTGTCCGTGAATCCTTCCTTGTAGGGTTCTGGTTCTAAGTGTCCTTCAAATGGAAGGTTCCGCTGGATAACCAACTGGAATGGCTTAACGATGTAACGGTGTCCCTTTCTGGACCTGCCGTTTTCTCAGTTGCTCCAATGAAGTTTCTTGGTAATTTGAATTTTATGAAGTATCCTAATGAATCCTTCACCGTTTTTTTCCCAGGTGGATCGCCATCTTACCCACGATTGTCGCTCAAATCTCATTCATTGTCCTTTTAAGCATGTTGGCTGTCAACATCAAGTAAGTATCGACTTATTCTCCAAGATGCTGGAGGACTTATTTTCAGTGGTTATCCACCTATACTCGGAATATCTTGACTAATTGTCTCAACCCTATGAGCTCTACAAGTGACCAGCATCTTATTTCTCCCTACAATATCACCCCTGAATCACACATTAAGGCCATGAGAATAATAAATAATAATAATAATAATAATAATAATAATATATAATTTAGCAATGGACATTCCACTGGGTGGCTCTTCTTGTCCAATGTTTCTAGATCGAATACAAGGAGTGATTACCATTTTAAGACGTTTTTGATTGTTAAACAAATTCATCTTTTTAACACCATAGGAAATTAATAGAGAACGGTATAGTTTCGCGTTGAAGCGGCAAAGCGCAACCGGCGAACGTGAAAAAATGGCGGGAAAAACAAGGTCACTTGATCACTATTGCCGTTCACGTTTCACGTAAACGCGCCGTTCGCGTTTCACGTAAATCTCTCCATTATAATCGTAAAGCGTGGGTTAGTTTAAGGGGTTTCATAACCCCTATGAAAACAAGAATTGCTAGTTTTTGATACAACTTTTGTTAGTTTGTGGGAGAAAAACAAACATCCTCGATAGGTTTAGATTTAAAAGCCAGGCTTTGACCAAACCCAACAATTCTGTACATGATTGGAAATCCAACCTGGCAGAGAGGAAGAAATTATCTACAATTTGTATTTCATTTTCTTGCAGTGTCCACAACGAAGCCTTACACAGCATCTAGAGGATGGCATGAAAAAACATCTTGAGCTCGTTTCACAGCTTGCTCTCGATCAAAGAAAGGAAATTGACGAATTGCGTGAAATTGTCAAACATTGTAAGCCTTTCACTGATAGTAAACTCTACTGGAAGATCGACGATTTTTGGAACAAATTTGAGGACGCCAAGCACAAAACAAACGTAGAGTTGCACAGTCCTTCATTTTACACGAGTCCTTATGGGTATAAGTTCAAAATCGTGGTGTTCCCGTACGGAAATGGCAGCGGGGAAGGCTCACATCTATCGCTCTATGTCCGTCTTCTTCCTGGAGAATACGACTCGCTCTTGAAATGGCCGTTCGAAGGCGAAATCGCCTTGTCGCTTTTGGATCAAAACAGAGATTCTAATTGGGGCCAAAGAAATATTAGCCAATCGTTTAGCCCGGATCCAAACTGGAAGAGCTTCCAGAGACCTGTTAAGAATGGTGCCACGCTCGGCTTCGGTTACCCACAATTCGTGTCTCATCGGGGCTTGGAATCGACGAGTTACGTCAAAGGAAACTGCTTGTTCATAAAGGCAACTATCGACTGCAAATATTCTGCTGATTTGTAACTCATAACAAAAAATTATTTGAGTAAATTCCTATAAAAAAGGTTTAAAAATTTCCATTGCATACGATCCATTTTATGGCAAAAATTCTTACTGTAAGAAAGAGGACAAATTTCTAATACAAACAATATTTGATATCTCATTGCTCAAATTCTTTCTGTAGGTTTGGTGATGAATATAGTGTTACGTTTTACAATAGAATAGTGGTACATTAGCAAGCACAGTAAATGTAATTATAATCAGTAAACATAATGATTTTTGTTTACGTATTCAAACCAAGATTTGCGCTTGCTCGTGTCAAAATATATCCGCTGGATATGAAGATTTGAAGCTCGTCAGCGTGTTTTTTAATGATTTCTTGTTTGGGACCGGCAATGAAGTGAACAAAGGACATGTACTGACAGTTTTAAGTCCTCGTTGTAAGAATCACTTGGGATCGTTGTCATTTAACAGAAACGTTTTACCTATGAAACTCGCGAGAGTATTGGAAAACACTGTTAAAGGTGTCTTGTCCGCATGCTACGTAGCATAGCAACATTTCTGAATTCAAGTGTGGTTCAGGTTATAAGAAAGCCATTTGCTCTTTTAAAGTGGGCAAATTTTAATGCCATTCAAGCTCTTTTATAAGATTTTATTAAAACTTACTCGCCCCGATTTTGTAGCGCAAAAACGTCGTGGAAGCGACAACGCATCCGTGATTCTTAAAACTCTTCATATACTCCATTTTCCGACGCTATGCTAAATTCTGACGTTGAACTTTATATGTCCATAACGTTGGGTATTTTCAGTGAGATTTCAAGGTAAAAATATGAGTTATTCTTGCTAACCACCGAATATTTTATTTAACGCTAAAGGATGACGTACTCAAAAATCCTTGGCCTAAACTTTTCAATTGAACATTTACAGTTCAACAGGACTTTTTTTAAGAAAGTTCATAGCACCTTCTGTTTTTTATTGATTAGAGATATTTAATAATTAAATAGAAGTTTTGCATACTGCTGAGCGGGAAAATAACTGTGTCTAACAAGGATGTGACAGAATAAAATAGAGAATTTATTGCACTCTCGATGACTGCTACATTTTGTATTGGTGTAGCTTTGCTTTGTAGCCGCGCCACCCTCTTTAACCCTTTGACCCCTGAAAGTGACTAGCATCTAATTTCTCCTCACAATATCACCCCTGAATCATAGGGAATAAAGAAAATGATCAATTAAAGAAACTCTTGACTGTTTAAGACATTCTCCTTGTCAGAAACTTAGGAAATGAGAACAAAATGAAGAATATACATACTATGTTAGGGTTTTTTGAGGTTTCAAACCAATCATCTCTTGGGTTTTCCTGCGTTTCGGACAGTTTGTTAGCAAGTGGCACTGCCCTTTCGTTCGAGGCCATGTAAGGGGTGAAGGGGACTGGGGATAATGCCCTTCTAAAAAAAATCCCAAGTATTAGATGTGCTCTCTTAAACCAAACTTTTGGAAAGCTGGTCAGTGTGCGAAACCTTCCCTCGAAAAGAATGGGACGTGGCCCCTCATACAGGGTCATTACCCATTAAATGCTCTTTCACAAACCTGTTTCTTAGGCTTCTAATAGAGACTGTCATCTATTAACATATTTGTTTCCCTGCTTGATGATTGCATGTCAAAGCATGTATTTTACCTCATTTTCATCTTATCCGAAATACGTCCGACACTTAGCTAAGAGTGATGTTATTTTTCGATTTATTTCTTTAGTTGAGTAAATATTTAACCTATGAATGGGAAACGTTTTCGGATGTACCGGTAATATCATAAATAGTCTTCTAATTTTACAAATTTAGAAAGGGCGTTCAAAACACAACAACGACGGCTTTAAAAGGTTTTAACCCATACTGTTCTCGTAAGAAGCGCAACTTTTAACAAGCTGTCAATCACTATTGAACTCTTTCTCAGAAGCAATCACCATGTCATTTCTCGTGACTTTATCCTTCCAGGAGCAACTTCCTTGTTTTCCACCCTGTTCTCAAACCTCATTGGACAATCAATATGTATCCAGTCAAGCTGCCAATGAGCCAAGTACAAGACATTAACTTTCTCTTGTCAACAGAAGAAAACCGAAGAGAAGCGAAGAAAACTGAAGAAAATCCGTGAGCAAACGTTTCCGGCGGCGTTCTCTATCACAACTTACTACGATTTCTGATACTCGGAAGTTGACGACACTCCTTCCACCAGGAAATTCTTTCCTTGTTCTCTGGCTTTTGCATAATCGCAGCATGTAAGTTTTCATGAGCCTGAGGAAGAGAGTGAATCAGTTAGCTTCAATAAGAAGTTCTGGTTTGAAAATAGCTTTGACTTAACATTCTGACGTTTTTTGTCGACCAAAGTTCTAGACAAGTTTCACAACCATCCCCCTTTTGTTAGGGTAGTTAAAAATGACATAAAAATTAAATAAACAGCAAATAAATAAAAATCAGCAAGAGTCAAAGTGGTTTACCTTTCCATTACTGTGACCAATGGGCGAGTTAAGAATAAAATCCGGTGGGGCTAAGGCATCCACAAGAGCTACAGCTTCGTTCTTCAACTGAGTACAAACACAAAATAGCTGAATTATTTCAAAATGTTACTATAACATTTGTTTCATCCCCCTAACACCATGTTACATGCATGTTATTCAACGCGTTTGTGTTTGTTGCAGAAAGCTATAAAACTAGGGCTCTCAGAGAAAGAATTAGGTTTTCGTAGTCTGATAGAAAACAATTCCCAACCGTTTTTCCATTAATGGAAGCATCTGTTTTCTTGCTGCACATACCAAGCCTCGTTCACTCAGTCAGGAGTATCTTTGGACAGAGTTCTCGGATTGTGGCTTGAAAACACTTTCGACTCGAGTTGTAAAAACCTTAGATAGTATTATGAAAATCTGTGTAAGGAATAATGTGGGGAATTAATGCAGCATAACATTTCAGGTAAGGCTGACAAAAGCAAATAGCTTACCTCACAACAAAGAGTAAGAATGGCTGCTCTTACAATTCTGGCATCATTCACTGAGCAACAGAAGCCACCTACAGTAAACAGACAAATAATATCCTATTTCCACATGAAAGCCCTTTTTGATATCCAATAGAAACATTTTCCTTAGGGCGGCATCACCATATAACAGAAAACTTTGCACAAATAGTCAGCATTCCTTTTTCTTAGTAGCCTCACCTTGGTATAGAGTGGTGAGATGCGTCTCTAAAGAGGACACACCATACAATGAACAAAGTTTGAGAAGAACTGGTTTAAGTGCTTGTGGAGTTTCATCCTCATTGAAAATTGCTTCTTTGAATCTCTTCAAAATTGTACACTGAAATAAAAAGTAATCAGTTGGCTTGTCAATGTTACTACAAGGAAGATGGTGTTAGTTGTCATAATCCAAGATTTTCCTACCTAAGGGACACTATTCATATCCAAAATTTCATTATGATATAAGAGCCCAGCCCCTCAAGGTTTTGTTGCCCACCCCTTAATTTCAGGACCCTGAAAAATGTATAAGCTGGCAATGGATAATGAGTTACTTAACACATATTAAAGGGAAACAGAAGACAAAGGTTACCTCAATGAAAGCAAGTGCCAATGATCTACAAAAAAATACTTGGCTGTCATTCTTGGCTGCAAAAGAGTCCTGTGATGAATCAACAAAGATAAAGAGATTGTTAACTTCATATCCTTGAAAGGCTTATAAGGCTGACTAGAAAATTACTGCTAATGAATCCATTATAAATTATATGTTGTTGCAAAAAAACAATAAACAAACATATAAAGGGAACAAAAACAAATATATGTTGTGAAATAAAAGCAAATACACTCATAATCATTAAGAGGTACCTTTCCACCTGCCAGCTCTTTCTGGAACTTGTGAGCACTCTCTTTTAGCAAGTAACAAACAAGCCATTGGTATGCTCCAACTAGAACTAATCAGGAATAAAATCATTTGAATAATCTGATCACCAAAAAACCTCCAAAGAATATGCAGGATTTTCTACTATGGAGGTGACTACCAGAAAAATATCAGGGGAAAAGAAAAATACTGGAATTACTTACTGAAGGATTGGAATTCTATTTAAGGGAAGAGTGACATTTTTTTTTTTTGCTCACCAATGGTAAAGAAACACATTCTACCTGCACTCAAATACTTATTGCTCTTTAACCCTGCACACCCTAACATCAGTATGCATATTCTCCCTACTGTTCTCTATACATTTCCTTTGGTACTCACAAGGAGAATTTGTTTAACAATCAAGAGTCTCTTTAGTTGGTGATCATTTTCTTCATTCTCATGACCTCAATGTGTGATTCAGGGATGATGGAGTCAGGAGATATTACATGTTAGTTACTCGAAGGGTCAAAGGATTAAGAACAACAATACAGCATTAATTATATTGTCACCTAATGCACCATAGGGTTCTTCACTATGTGTCAGTGTTATCCTCTGTCCCAAAATTCAAGTTTAACAAGATCAGTACTTACAATCAGGATTCCTACATTCTTGCTCTGTACTTGCATCAAATTTTTGTGTCATGATCTGTTCCATGTCATTTATGAAGTCAGATGTGTGAAGAGGACTGGAAATATGGGAACCTGTGTGTAAAAACAATGCGAATGGCGAGGTCTCATTTTATGACTGTTCCGAATTTAATATTTTTCACTTTCAAATATTTATCACACACCACATACACAGTAGATCAAATTGAACCAAAACTTCTTAGTTTATACTTAACAGACTAATACAACAACCTAAAAACAAGGTGGTTTCTTTTGTAGACAGTCACAGCACATCTGTCTAAATAACCAACTCTGGCAATTCCAAACTTCTCATCTCAAGAATGGAATGCTTATTTAAGTACTCTAACGCTACCAAAAAATCTCTAACCCTATTGATGAATTGGAAGGAAATGAAAAAGACAGCATCAAATAATCATCCATGGAATCATTTTAACTCATTAACTGGCTTTTCTCTCTGAATCTACTTCTTATGGAAATTGTGAAACAACAGGTAGGGAAAACTGATAGGTCTAGAACAAAATAATATAAAATAAGATACAACTAAAGAAAATTACAGAGCAGTTCATGGGCAGATCCAGGAATTTTTGTTTGGGAAGGTCCAAACTTTGGTTCAGAAAGGACTGTTGGACTCTTTTGAGGGAGATTACTTCTCTTCCGCATCCCCCACACCCCTCTCACTAGTCGTGGTTGCACATTATAATGCCTTGGCCACTTACCGTTTACTTGGATTCATTAAAAAAAAATCAGTCAGTTAAAAATTGATATACGATCCTGTCTATGTAAGACTTTCAGTCTCAAAGTTGTAAGCGTCAGGTCTGATAGGGGGGGTCTGGACCCCCCAGACCCTCCCCCTGGATCCGTCACTGCAGTTTACCTTTCTGTTTAGCTTCCAGTTGGGACAAGAGATAACTACTAGTTTGCCATAGAAGCATGTTATTATCTCCTTCGTAAGTGCAGTTGGGATCATTATCATCCCTTAATTCACCAAACCTGTTGACTGAAAGAAAACAATTTCAAATCAATAGATTTAGAAGCAATTTGGATATATCAATAAAGTTGAAATGGTAAATTGGCCACCGTAATGATTACAAAAGCTGATGTTTTGAGCATTAGCCCTTTGTCGGAGCGAATATATAGGAATTGTGGGTTGTGTGTGCTTTAAAAGGCAGAAAATGGAGCTACATTTTCTGCCTTTAAAAGCACACACAACCCACAATTCCTCTATTTGCTCCGACGAAGGCTAACGCTCGAAATGTCAGCTTTTGTAATCGTTACGGAGGCCAATTTACCATTTCAACTGTGTTGATATATCCAAATTATTTCGTTACCCCCACTGATGCAGCCCCAAACAGTTTCTTTAGAAACAATCAGCCTTTATTCAGATTTTGAAGCAGTCTAAGAAATGGCAAACATTTTCTCAATAGAGCAAATTAAGTTATTCTTGTTTATAGCATTGCAGAAGCATGGCTTGAAAACTTTTTTGTGCAAGAATGAAATAGACCAACCAGAATTTT